CCTTTGACATAGGTTATGGTGGCATTCTCAAACAGGAAATTGAGTCTCATGAGCATATCATTGCATACACTTCAAAACATTGGAATTCTGCACAATAGAATTACTCAACTGTTAAAAAAGAAGTTTTAGCAATTGTTTTATGCGTATCAAAATTTTAATCAGATTTACTAAACCAAAAATTTCTTATTAGAGTAGATTACAAGTCTGCTAAAGAAATTTTACAAAAAGATGTTAAAAATCTTGTCTCGAAACAAATTTTTGTAAGATGGCAAGCAATTTTAAGTGTTTTTGATTTTGATATTGAATATCTCAAAGGCACCTTCAATTCCCTTACTGACTACCTTACCCGTGATTTTTTACAGGATAAATAGAATACATAGAAAGGCAGCAACCCCTTCTAGGGGAGGAACAATCAGAGGTGGTAGAGTTAGGCTCGCCTTGACTCTAAACAAAACAAAATCAAAGTCTGTCACTACAGACTCTTGTTCCAATTCTTCGGGGTCTTCTACTCTGACTGGGTCATCCACCCAGAAAGCCATCCAGATTGTAGAGTCATCTACTCAGCAATTTATGATTCCTGAAAAAGACTCATCCAACAAGGTTGATTCTTCCCAATCAAAAAGTGTTAAACAAACCAAAGCAGACTATGCTTTCCCTGTCAACACTCTTCTAGCCATATAACAAGGTAGCCTAAACAGCCTATCAAATAAATCTTGGGCAGACATTGCCTCTGACGAAGATATAGAAATAGATTTAGCAAACCTAAACACTATTATCCAATCCTTCAGTCAATCACAAAAGACAATAAGCCTCCTTGATAAAACAGAGAAAACTATTAGCCTTCAAAAGGGTAAATCCTTAAATACCAGTCATTATATGGCAAAAGGAAAATTTTCCACTGTCATCCAAATGGAACCCGAATTTTGGGACAAAAACCCATACAAAGCTATCACCAAAGCATTTCCTCCTGGTTTTCATTTCAGACCATATGCCTTGAACAAAACCAGACAATTTTATGAGTTCATCTTAATAGATTCAGACTCTGTCTCTATTAAACATTACAAGAACCAAAAAGATCCTTCAATGATCACTCATTCAACAATACATATATTAAAGATTCTGTCACCAAAGAATTTTGGAAAAGATCCAAATGCATTCAAAAAGTTCTCCCAACCTTTTGATCCGGTAGGATATAATTACTGGGACTACATTGATGCCTAGATAAGGACTTTCTAGTTCCAGAATAAGCTCAATCGACATTCTTGGTTGATTTATTACAAGAAAAACTAAAATTACAATTTTCCTAATTGGTTCTTACAATGGTAGGACTTCTTTGGACCTTTAGAAGCAATCCTTCCATCACCTATAAAAGAATGATTTGAAATATTTAAAACTAGATATGCTCCCAGCAGGATTGGTGCAGATCTTAAATATTTTTCTGCATTTGCTATGGCCTGAGTATTCTCATGGCAATACAGGTATAGCAAGACAGAAAAAGATGATATTCTACCCATGATTCACAAACATGTTTTTGTGAAATAGTGGAACCAATTCAATGTAGAACATGTCGGACCACAAGGAGTTAATGAATTTTTTGGAAACAATCCAAAACTTTTGAAGCTCGCGGATCCAATAACTTTCCAATTCTGAATCAGAAAGCAAAACTTAAAAGAAGTTCTTCTTCTTCTAAATCAAGATGAGGCTGAATCTTCTACCAAACAAGAGTCTAATTCTAACAAAGAAGTCGACTTTTATCAAAATGAAGATGATTGTTTCGGAATAGACGTACAAGAATTATGACCTATTCTGTAGAAACAGTTCTAGTTACAAACCGGAACTATACAAACAGTGTTTTAAATTTTCTTTATAAGGAGGCCTCGACCATATTGTGAGGTACCCTTTCATTAAGCAATATTAGAGAGAGAAACTAGTGAGAAGTGCTCTGAGAATATTTCGTGTAAGCTTTTCTCCAAGTTTTTAATAAAAGTTTGATGTTTCTTGTTATTTTTCTCTCCTCCCTCTTAGTCGGCTCTGTTCGGACTACCGTCGTCCAGCTTTCTTCTCTTCTCCCTTCACTAGATCTGTGCCGGTTCTACCGCCGTTCTAGTTTCTTATGTTTTAAATTTACTACTTTAAATTTCTGTACTTTACATTCTGCATTTCATTTAGTAGTCCTATTACTGCCTACTTTCCTTCCAGTCCATTTTATTTTCCTTTGATCCACTTCGGGTTATCTAGTGTATATATATATGAATTAGTGCAAAAATCTAATGAAAATAAAGGTCAAACATAGATATATGGCCTTTAAAAAGGGGAAAAAATACAAACTTATCACAAACCAATGGAAAGAAAATATTTGTTATAGGATATTGTGTCCTAAAAAAATATCTCATTCATGTGATCAAAGACTTTTAACTTACTACAAATTTTTTTAGCGATTTCTCATTCATTTGTTGTAGGATACATGTATGCATATGCTCTCTTGTTTTCAAACGAATAAAAACATCTTTATAAATCAATGCAACAACAAGCATATGATAAGTAGAATTCCATCTTGTTTTTCAATTAAGTACAAGTTTCTTTGTAATCAAAACTTTTAGGTGTAGCCGTCTAAAAAGCAACACCACTCTAACCTTTTCTATACCATCTTCAAGAACATTTAAACTATTTTGAGCAATTAAATTAAGAATATGTACATAACACCTCATGTGAAACAACTGACCATCAAACATAAGAGAAGAACAATCAAGTTTATTTAGTAATAAACCAACAAGAGAGTCATTTGTACTACAATTATCTAAAGTAATGGAAGATAGCTTTCTATTGATATTTCAATCTAACATGCATTCAACCAACATTTTAGACAGAGTTTCTATTATATGTGGACATTTCACATATACAAACCTATTAATGTAAAAATAAATTATATACATATATAAAAAATATTGAATAATGCAAAATATTATATGCAAATAATTAGTAAATGAATATATCATACAACGATCACAAAAATTATACTTCAATATGAGACTTTGCATATCCTAATCGTCAGTAATGTAATGAGCTGTGATGACTATAAATCCTTTCTTTTGATTGCCAATTGTCCACATGTCTGTTGTTAAAACACTTTTACTTCCAACCTTCTCTAAAAGTCTCATAGTCTTCAACTTTTTATTTTCATAGATTTTGATAATGTTACTTTTTATTATATTTTGACTAGGAACTTTGAATAAAGGTTGGAGGCCTTCAGAGTATGCTATAAACCCCATATGGTCCATCATAGAAAGCGGATACTCATGAATTATTATCATAGAAGCAAGACTTCTTCATTTTTCTGGATCAAAGTGATAATTACTCCATAAGTGGATGATTTGGTTACTTTCTTTTGTTCTCTTAATAAGATTGATTGTCTTATATCCTTATATGGCCTCTTTTTACAAATTTGAAAGTGTGAATACCAATTTTTTTGCCTCCCAGGGATTGCTTCAAATTTTTTTAAAAAATATATAAAAAAATAAAAAATTATTTTACAAAAAAATAGAAAATTTTAAAAAAAGAGAGACCGGTTCCTGAAAATAGAAGCCTGCACTACAAAGACTTATACCTAATGTCAAAAACCAATTCTTAAGCATTGAGAAGGAAAACTCAGAACTTTCGGTATTTTGCAAAAACCCCTAAACGACTCATATAAATATACAAGTTAGGGATCTGAAAAGAAGGCTTTCAAAAAACGAGAAAGAAATTTAAAGAGGGGCAAAAAAATTTTAAAAAAAGGAAGAGATTTTCAAGAGATCAGGGAGAGGGGAGAAGGAGAGCCAAAACAAAAAAAAAAAAAAAAAAGATTTGAGGAAAGGTTTGGAAGAAGAAGAAAATTTTTTGAAGATAAAAAAATGAACAAAGGGAGAAAGAAGAAATCAGAAATAAACAAAAAGAAGCAAAAACCTCATTACTCATTCCAGGTATTTTTTTGTTGCCTTATTACTTTACCCATCATCAAATACCTCTGAAAAACAATGGATGATGAAAATAAAATGTTCTCGGAAGAGTTGGGTAAATGAGAAATAGAAGCAAAATAACGAAATTAAACTGTGAGAGTGTTAACGATATTTTTTAACTTTTGTTGCTATAAATACTTTTTTTATAATAATATAATAAATACTTTTGATATAATGTGATTTGAACATATTGGACTTTAGAGCATAGAACTGCAACACACTACCTACTGAGCAGCGTCGGTCTTCATTAACTATTATTTTATTTATTTTTCTATTCTTTTAATTTTTTATTTTTTTTAGTTTGAAATGTTTTATTCCTTTTACTTGGCTATGTTATTTCCACAATATTTCTTTCAACTTTTATATATATATATATATATATATATATATATATATATTTCTTCTTTTTCAATTTTTTATCTTAAATGTTTTGTTTCTTTTTTTTCTCTGATTCTAATATTTGGTTTTATGTTTGTTTTCTTTCTTTTCTTTTCTTTTAGTCTTTTTTTAAAAAATAAAAATTATTATTTTATCTCAAATTATATTTTAATTATATAGTTTATCTTAAATAATATGTTTTACTCATTAATTTTATTTTATTTTTACTATTCTTTTAAAATTAAGGTTCTTAATTTTATTTTATTCTAACATTAACAATATAATTTTCCTTAATTTTTATATTATCTTATTGTTTATGCTTTAATTATTATGTTAGATATTTACCATTTAGAATTGTTATTTATTTATTTATTTGTATATTTGTAGAATATAGATGGTGACCTAATTTTATATTTATGATTTTTTTTATATTATGATTTTATATATATATATATATATATATATAATCAATGAATGAATAATAATATAATTGTATCAATTTATAATGAAAAACAATGATTATGAAGCTAGATACTCTTTGTTAGAGCGAACCTGTTATGCCTTGACTTGGGCAGCTCGTAGGTTAAGGTAATACATGTTAAGTCACACAACTTGATTGGTGTCAAAATGGATCTAATCAAATACATCTTTGAGAAACCAGTCCTTACTAGAAGGATTGCTCGTTTGCAGGTCTTATTGTCAGAATATGATATTTTGTATGTTACTCAAAAAGCAATTAAAGACAGCGTTGTCGTAGATTTCTTAGCTCATCAACCGATAAATGATTATCGATCAATACAATATGAATTTCCTGATAAAAATATAATGACGTTGTTTAATGAGAATGAATCTTTAGCAAAAGACGAATGGGTCATGATGTTTGATGGTGCTTCTATTACACTCGGACACGAGATTGATGCTATACTGATTTCTCCTGAGAAGCAATATATCTCGATCACAGCTGGATTATCATTCGATTGTACAAATAATGTAGCTGAATATGAAGCATGTGCTATGGGAATTCAAGCAGCTATAGAGTCTAAGATCAAAATTCTCAAGGTGTAAGGTGACTCAACCTTAGTCATCCACTAGCTGAAAGGTGAATGGAAGACACGAGGTACCAAATTGATCCCTTATTAAGCTTGTATCAGAAAATTGGTGGAGTATTTTGATGAAATTACTTTTCAGCATATTCCTTGTGAGGAGAATCAATTGGCTGATGCTTTAACCACTTTATCATCAATGTTTGTAGTGAGTCAAAAAGAAGACATGTCATTCATAAAGTTACAACAGCTTTATCATCCTGCCTATTGTCAAATGGTTGAAGAAGAATTTGATGGTAAACCTTGGTATCATGACATTAAAAATTTCCTAAAATACCAAGAATACCTATTAAATGCTGCTGAAAATGACAAAAGGACATTGAGAAGGTTAGCAATGAATTTCTTTCTGAATGGAAACGTGCTTTACAAAAGGAATCATGATATGGTTCTGCTTAGATGTGTGGATGCTTCAGAAGCACAAAAGATCATAGAAGAGATTCATAAAGGTTCATTTAAGACTCATGCCAATAGACATGCCATGGCAAAGAAGATTCTACGAGCTGGATATTACTGGTTGACAATGAAGGCCGATTGCTTTTGTTATGTGAAGACATGTCATAATGCCAGACATATGCTGAAAATATTAATGTTCCCCCAACAAATTTGAATGTCTTATCATCACCCTGGCCTTTTTTAATATGGAGAATTGATGTTCTTGGACCCACTGAACCTAAAGCCTCTAATGGTCATCGCTTCATTCTAGTTGCTATTGACTATTTCACAAAATGGTTTGAGGCTGTCTCATATGCTAGTGTGACCCGAAATGTGGTGGTGAGATTCATTAAAAAGGATTTGATCTGTCGGTATGGCCTCCCAAGCAAGTTGATAAGCACTAATCTAAATAACAAAATGATGAAAGAATTGTGTAACACATTCGACATCTTAATTCCTCCCTTTATCGCCCAAAGATGAATGGAGCAGTTGAAACAACCAATAAAAATATTAAGAAGATCATCCAAAAGATGGTGGTGACATACAAAGATTGACATGAAATGTTGTTATTGCTTTACATGGATATCGAACTTCAGTTCGTACTTCAACTGGGGCAACTCCATACTCTTTGGTATATAGAATAGAAGCAATACTTCCTATTGAGGTTGAAATTCCCTCTTTAAGAGTAATCATGGGGACCAGATTGGAGGAAGCAGAATGGGTGCAATCTTGTTTTGATCAATTGAATTTCATTGAAGAAAAACGGTTGAATGCGTTGTCACGGTCAACTATACCAGCGAAGGATAAAGAACACTTTTGACAAAAAGGTTCATCCAAGAGAATTCAATGAGGGAGACATAGTGCTCAAAAAGATTTTGCCGATGCATAAAAATTATCGTGACAAGTGGTCTCCAAATTATGAAGGACTCTACGTGGTGAAAAAGGATTTCTCATGAGGAGCTTTAATCCTCACAAACATGGATGGACAAGATCTTCCGAACCTCATCAATTTTGATATTGTCAAAAAATACTATGCTTAAAAATAATTTAAAAATAAAATAAAATAGCTCACTAGGTTGGAAACCCAAAAGGGCGACCTAAGCAAAAGTTAGAGCGACCTGGTGAGTTGAAAACTTGAAAGAGTGGCTCAAGCAAAAATTAAGGTCAAATAAATTCTACACTGAACTGAAAACCTAAAAAGATAGTTTAGAAGGTGCACTGGACTTTAGTTGCAAGAAAGCGCTTCAAATTGGGATATATGATGGACTGGAATACTAAGCTAGGGCAAATTTTGAGAGGTTGAAGTTAAATCAAATATAAGATGAATTCAAAATATCATACTGGGGCAATTTTATTTGGCAGTGTTGTTAATGGATGATCAATTTACATGAGAGATTAGCACTGTTCATCTGAAAGATGTCACTTAATTGGCATAATACTTCACCATTTTTGTAATCATTCTGATCCTTTACTTAATGTATTTGTTTCTTTTTTGTGTCGTAAGTCATCTTTGTAAGATCACCATTTTCTTATTACAGTGATCTTGTTTTCTAAAAAATTTATTTGTCTCTAGCTTTTGCCACTTCTCATTCAGTTTATACGCTACTTCCTTACTTTGTTTACGTAAACTCTTCAACAACATTATTCAATAATTTTATTGTCATTTCAATAATGATATAATAAAAGGAAGCATGTTAGTTGTTAAAAGAGTAATAAGAAAATACAATTATAATGATAGGCTTTAAAAATTCAAGCGGTAATTAAGTCTAATGAACTTCCTGATAAGTACAACATGACAAAAGAAGTCGACTCCTTATGACAATTCAAAAATAAATAATAGTCCAATTTGATTGATATCTCACTCAGCTCAGATTTCATGAAAGAATTGATTCTGACCAAAGAGCTTACTCATTCATGAACCTTGGGTGCATGTTTTGATTTGATGTTTCATCACAGATTTGACTTCATCATGCATTAATTTTCTCCGTATGTTAACATTCATCCAGTTTGTGCAAGTAAGGGATATGAAGAGGAGGCTTTCAAAAAACAAGAAAGAAATTTAAAGAGCGGCAAAAATCTTTTTTTAAAAAAAGGGAAGAGATTTTCAAGAGATAAAGGAGAGAGGAGAATGAGAGCAAAAAAAAAAAAAAACAACAAACAGAGAAGATTTGAGGAAAGGTTTGGAGGAAGAAGATTTTTCAAAGATAAAAAAAAACGAACAAAGGGAGAAAGAAGAAATCAGAAATAAACAAAAAGAAGCAAAAAACTCATTACCCATTCCAAGTATTTTTTGTTGCCTTATTACTTTGTTCATCATCAAATACCTCTGAAAAACAATGGATGATGAAAATAAAATATTATCGGGAGAGTTGGCTGAATGAGAAATAGAAGCAAAATAATGAAGTAAAGTGTGAGAGTGTTAACGACGTTTTTTAACTTTTGTTGCTATAAATATTTTTTTATAATAATATAATAAATACTTTTGATATAATGTGATTTGAACAGATTGGACTTTAGAGCATAAAACTGTAACATGTTACCTACACTGAGCGTCAGTCTTCACTAACTTTTATTTTATTTATTTTACTATTTTTTTAAATTTTTATTTCTTTTAGTTTGAAATATTTTGTTCCTTTTACTTAGTTACTTTATATCCGCAACATTTCTTTCAACTTATATATATATATTTTTTTTCTTTCTTTTTTCTAGATTTTTTATTTTAAATGTTTTGTTTCTTCTTTTTTTCTGATTCTGATATTTGGTTTTACGTTTGTTTTTTCTTTTTCTTTTTCTTTCTTTCTTTCTTTCTTTCTTTTCTTTTCTTTTAGTCTATTTTATAAAAAATGAAAATTATTATTTTATCTCAAATTATATTTTAATTATATAGTTTACCTTAGATAATATATTTTATTCATTAATTTTATTTTATTTTAACATTAACAATAAAATTTTCCTTAATTTTTATATTATCTCATTGTTTATGCTTTAATTATTATGTTAGTCATTTACTATTTAGAATTGTTATTTATTTATTTAATTTTTTTTTGTATATTTATAGAATAGATGGTGACCTAATTTTATATTTATGATTTTTTTTATATATAATCAACGAATGAATAATTATATAATTGTATCAATTTATAATACTAACGTATAGCTTCTCTATCGTCATGTATTATAAATTGACAAAGTCTAAGTATACCTACGTTACCTTGGTTTTGCATAATATAAATTTATCGTATGATGACTTAAATTAATTAAATAATTATCTTAATAATAAATCAAGATATATTCTTCTTTTAATTATTAACTTTCAAATCAATCAACTAATATAAATCTAATTTATTTTAATAACAGAACAATTTATAATGTTAATATGTAACAACTCTACTTTTATGCGTTATAAATTAACAAAAACCTATGTATGTCAACATTACCTTAGGTTTTATATGATATAAATCTATGAAGTAAAATTTTTAATATTTTTATAAAATAAGTATCTTCTTTAACCAATTTAAATAAGTTTATTTCTTTTATTAAAATAAAAATTTCATATTTTAAAATTTCTTAAGTCATATTTCTAATTTTAATAAATTAAATAACTAATCATTTCTTTATTTTATTATACAAATTTCTACAACACCGATATGTGATTTATATTACCTTTGATTATCCAAAAATTATAAGTGATTTATATATAACTTTCGCTATCTTAAATTCTCTTTCAACCTTAATCATAATTTAAATATAAATTTAAATATTTTATTTACAAATAAAAATACTTTTAAACGATTTGTAATATAGTTGTATCATAATCTTCCTTCACTTTTTATATTGTTTCTCGTAGGGTACATGATCTTGTATCCTAAATATTATAATTTTATGAAAATAATTTTAATCTCAAAATAAATTTTCTTTATTAAACTTAATTTTAATTAACCGATTTCATAACTTTTTAGATAAAATTACGTGACTTTGAGTTTCTCATTGCACCCGGGGATACATAGAATCGAGAACTGAACCTGTCAAGTCAAAATAAATTTTTTTAAGATACCGAGTTATCATTTCAATAAATAATTTTTTTCTTCTTCTAAAATAGAAATAATTAATGTTTAGGGGTTAGATAAATATTTTTTAAAATAAAAAGAATTTGCACAATTAATTTTAGATAACCGTTTTTAAACGGACATTGTAGGGTGTTAGTACATTTCCTACACGTAAATGACTCCCGAACCTATTTTTTATTTCAAAGATCAGATTATTTTAAAGTTTTTCTAAGGTTTTCTTAAAATAAACTTTGGTGGCAATTCCTCTGATTTTTTTAGAAAAGTATTTTTATTCTTGAAAGATATTTTTCTTAAACATGTTTTTGTCGTACAGTTGCGATAGAAAGTATTTATCCAAATTATTTGTTTCATTTGATTTTCTACCCGTCAATTGCTTGTTGCAATAATTGTAATATAGTTTTTTCTTTTCTATTAATAATATTTTCTTAAAGTCATTCAATACAACTAACATCTTTCATTCTTTGTTTTACACCATCAGTTACATCATAATCATCTTCATCTATAGAAATAGGAAGTATATCACTATCAGACTGATATTGAAATTAACCTCTAATATTGGAATTGCAACCATGTCTAGGATCATTAAGTACACTTTTAAGAGCATTTTCAAGTTGTGTGACAATAATATAAATAATCAAAGAAGAGTTACTTTTAGATTCCTTTGAAGGACTTATTTCACGTATATTTTTCATTTGTTATTACGTAATACAAAGCAAGAACTTAAATAAAAAACCTTATTCATCCCAAATCAATATAATATCACATAATTTAAATCACTAAATTTCTAAACATAAACCATTTTCAAAAAGAAAACTCAACATAAACCTTTTTTAGTTCAGCTAATAGATATGATAAATTTGAAAATTACACAAAATGGAAAAGTATCATGATATCCTAAGAGTTGAGTATAAACATAAAGAGAAAAAATTGGAAAAGAGAGAAATAAACAATAGTTTAGCATTTAAGCAGAAACACACAAATAAACGAATCTTATACACACAGGTTATTTGTTAACAATAAATACGTTTTTCTAAGGTGTATGATGCATAAAATATATTTTACTACATTAACACTAAATTCAAATATAAGAAATTACTTGAAATAGAATGAATAGTTATTTGTCTCCTTACTCTATTTGTTGTTTCTTCTATTCCTTGATAGTTCTTGTTCTGCTTTTAATTCTTCTTCACCTAGTGTTCTTCCTCTTCTTTCTTAATTTCAAATTTGTTCTTTCTATCATCTCTGATCCCCAGTATATTTTCATCTCATTTGCTTTTTTTGTTAGTGCAATTTTGCTTTTGGAGTTTCTACAAGAAGTCAAATTTTTAAATCTTTTCTTTTTTCATGTATAAAGCAAGGTACCATCCTCTAATTTTATTACTGTAATGCAGAATTTTCCATTTTAAGTCAAATTTTGTTTTCTAAATTTGTAAAGACTAACTTTTTATTTTATTAAAAATAAATAGTCATCATTCCCTTTTGGTAAAACAAGATTTATTAATATCACTTTTTTTCTTAAACAATGTTAAGATAAAATGGAATTCATACAATTGTTCCTTCAACTAGCAAAAAATATGTAATGTTGTAGCATTATCAACTAGGCCATCCAAATTTTATATAATAGAAAAAATGTTCCCACATTATTCAATATAAATCAAAAGTTCTTTTAATGTGAGACTTTTCAATTGTCCAAATATATTTGATTACCTTCTCAACTATTCTCCTTAATTCATAGCAATATATGAGGACCATA